CGTCGCCCGGTTACCCGCGGGCACTCACCGGAGAGTTCGATCGCGCGGCCTCTCGCTCCCTCCCGCACGAAGAGACTAACGTCGCGGCGTCCCACCCGCCCGACCGCCTGTCACTTCCGGGGTCACACAACTTCCGCTCCCCCGAGGGTGGGGTCGAGCCGCTGGGCGCATGCACAAACGGGCCCGGGAGGCGGGCGCATGCGCGGAGCGCGGACAAGCACGGGGGACTGGAACGCGGTGTGGCCATCTTGGGCGGTCTAGGGTGGGCGGGCGGAGGGTTGGGCTGGATGCTGGTGGGACGGCGGTCGCGGGTGCATTTACTGTCTGGCTGTCACCCGTCCGTGCTGCCACCGTATTGGTTTCTTAACGACGTTGTGGCGCGTTCTCCGCGACGCCGGCCGTTGCAGAGTCCATGTAGCCGGGGCCCACCTGCGCCGCCCATGGCTCAAGAGTCTCATCTATTGACATGTTTTGAAAGCCTCTCTTTTAACCCGGAAGCATTTTAAATCAGAGCTCCTGATACCACACATCTTTAAAAATAAGAGCATCAACCAGCTGAATGTACAGCTGATTTGCTCTATAAGCCTTCATCCAATTCACAGTAAGAAGTTGTTTGTTTTTCTTAAATAAAATACGACATCGCTTCACAAACGCATCCTATAGAACGTGGTCATCTAACATGTCCAGCCTCGCCTCCAGCCCAAACCGCTCCATCCAGCACGTGGGCTGCCTTGTTCCTCTTGGTGCTAACCAGCGTGTCACACCCCCGGCTTCTGGCCTGCCAGACAGGGAAGTTGCTCTAGAGGGCCTGCTGATGGACACGGCCTGGCCCGGGGCTTACTGCCCACTCTGGAGGCCTTCGCTGGCCAGAGACTTATCCAGAGAGCCCAGGATTCTTCAGGGCCAGCATGCTGCTTTTATGGGGAGCACTTTACAGGCACGCCCTGTTGTTACGTGCCCTCGAGTCGGTTCCGACTCATAGCGACCCTGTGTAGGGTTTCCGAGGCTTCAAATCTTTGCGGATGCAGAAAGCCTCGACTTTCCCCCCACGGAGTCGCTGTCGGGCTTGAACCTCCAACTGTGTGGCTCCCAGTCTAGTGCTTATGGTATGGAGCCACCGAGCTCCCCACAGGTACCCCTATGGAGGAAGAATTATTTGGCGCTTAGATGGAGAAGGTACCTGGCCTACACCACTGTCTGGGCACCCATCAGTAACTGGAAATGTGGCCAACGTGCTAAGAGGGGAGGAAAGAAGCTGGTGATACAGGCTTTTATTAAAGTCTAGTTCTCTACTACTGCTCAAACAGAAATAGCCCCAAGTGGAGCTTCAACAAGCAAATTGATTCTCTCTCAGTTTAGGAGGCCAGAACTCCAAATTCAGAGTGCCGCCTCTAGGGGAGGGCTTTCTGTCTGCGCTCTGGGGAAAGGCCAGCACCAATGACGCTTTCTGTGGTCACTGGTATCAATCTTCTGGGGTCTAGGAGCTTCTCACTGAAGGGAAGGGACCCCTGTGCACTCCACTCCCAGATCTTTCTTTTCTTTTTTTTTAAATAAGCTTTTATTGTGAACTGAGTGATAGTTTACATGGGAGAACATTGGCTTTACACCATTGTTTCATTGCAGTGATTACAATCATTCAGCAGTATTTGCTTCCATTTCCTCTGGGGTTTTTTTTTGGGGGGGGGAGGGGGTGACGGGGGAAGGGATATACACAAAAACACTCAGGAATATATAATCGTTAAATAACCAAAGGGCACATTCGGCAAGCCTGCCCCCTGGCCGCCAGCACACAGCCTTTCTCTTTCCATGAGTCTAAAGTCCTCATCTCTGCCTCTAACTCTGGTGTCTGCTTTTCTGGATAGAGTCCCACAGTCCTCTCCTGCTGGTCTTTGTTTTAAGAAGTGTCTTCTGTTTCTCTTCTGGCTCTTCTTTCTTGGTGGTAGTTGTCAAGTCTGACTCTCAGAGACCCTGTGTAGGGTTTCCGAGGAGCAGTTGCTGGTAGGTCCCTCTGAGCTCAGCTTTTTTACTTAATCTCTTTTGTATCTCAAATGAGATCAACTCAAAATATGATTTAATCCTGTAGATTATGTTAGGACAAACTACCATCATAATTTAACCCAAAATCCACTGTCATCCATTCAGTTCCAACTGTACATGGTGATTCTGTACAGTGAGTATGTAAATGTTTACAAAAGACAACTTAATTTTTCTCACCAGGAACAGCTGGTGGATTTGAACACCCAACTTTGTGATCAGCAGCATTTTGTTGTTGTTAAGTGCCGTCGAGTCGGTTCAGACTCATAGTGACCCCTATGAGGGTTTCCAAGGAGTGACTTGTGAGGATTTACAAAACATAGGATAATTACCTACACAGGTAATTGATACCACATAGGATAATTACAGAGCCACTGTACCAAAAGGTTGATGTTCAGTCATTTCAAGAGAGAGCATATAAATAGGAACCCTTGGTACTGAAGGAGGAAGTCCAAGCTGCACGGAAGACACTGGGGAAGAGCAAGGCTCCAGGAATTGATGGAACACAAACTGAAATCTTCCAACAAACTGATGCGGCACTGGAGGCATTCACTCATCTCTGCCAAAAGTTCTGGAAGACAGCTACCTGGCTAACTGATTGGAAGAGATCCATAGCTGTACCCATTCCAAAGAGAGGTGACCCAACAATATCACTAATATCACATGCAAGTAAAATTTTGCTGAAGATAATTTTTAAATGTCTATAACAGTACAGAGAACTGCCAGATATTCAAGTCAGATTCAAAAGAGGACTTGAAATGAGGGGTATCATTGCTGATGTCAGATGGATCTTGGCTGAAAGCAGAGAATTCCAGAAAGATGTTTGTTGTTGTTGTTAGGTGCCATCGAGTCGGTACCAACTCATAGTGACCCTATGCATAGCAGGACCAAACACTGCCCGGTCCTGGGCCAGCTTCCCAATCACTGCTGCCACTGTGCCAATCCATCTCACTGGGGGTCTTCCTCTTTTTCTCCGACCCTTCATTTTACCAAACATAACAGCCTTCTCCAGTGACTGGTCCCTCCTGACAATGTGTCCAAAGTATTAGAGACAAAGTCTAGCCCTCCTGGCTTCCAGGGAGCATTCTGGCTGCACTTCGTCCAACACAGATTGGTTTGTTCTTTTGCCCCTCCATGGCGCTTTTAATGTTCTCCTCCAACATCAAAGGTCTTCCTTCTTCACTGTCCATCTTTCACATGCATATGAGGTTATTGAAAATACCATGGCTTGGGTCAGACACACCTTAGTCCTCAAGCTGACATCTTTTCTCTGCAGCTCTTTAAAGAGGTCTTGTGCAGCAGATTTGCCTAATGCAATACGTCCTTTGATTTCTTGACTGCTGCTTCCATGAGTGTTGATGGTTGATTCAAGCAAAATGAAATCTTTGACAACTTCAATCTTTTCTCCATTTATCATGTTATTTATTGGTCCGGTGGTGAGGATTTTTGTTTTCTTGACATTAAGGTACAACTCATACTGAAGGCTGTGATCTTTGATCTTCATCGGTATTTTTCAAGTCCTCTTCCTTTCAGCAAGCTAAAGCACATTCACCATGAGTGACCCTGCTGGTATTTAAAATACCCATGGTACAATTTCCAGCATCACAGCAACGCATCAGCCACCACATTACA